ATGTGTATGTAAGATATAAGCTAATGTTCATGTAGTATTATTTATAATTGTAAAAACTGGAGTCCATCTTTTTGGTAATAAGAAAATGATAAAAACGCATGTTGCAAATATATGAATATTATACAGATTTTTTGGAAGAATGAAATCTGACATTGAATAATGTTTATTATAATGTGAGAAAATCAAGTTATAGATGAGTATGACAGAAAAAAAATATTCAATGACAAAATCATGGTGCCAAACTCATATTGTAATAGCTCTATTTTGGTTAACTCTGGGAAAAGCTACTCTGCTGTCATGGCTATAAATACTGGCTGTGTTGGATATTAGTGTTGGATTGCAATTGTCAATTTTGCATTATTATCATCATTCACTTTTAAGGTTTTCAAAGTCCCACCAAAGTCAGCTCCCAGTCATTGTATCCCTGTTAAATACATAATAAAGAAGTCCTTGTGAATCAATGTTTATTTTGGCCATTTTTCAGATTCACATTCCAGGCTCACTTTCTCTATAACACTTCTAGGATTTATTTTATCCATCTACACCATCATTGTTTCCAAAAAGCATGAGACCATAACTTCATTTTGGTACTCTTTATGCAAAAGATCCATTTTGCCTGAATTTTCATTGTGGGTTATATACTTGCATATTCTTGCTAAGGGTGACATTTGCACAAGCTTTTGGAAGATCACCCCAGAGTCTGCTATCTAGAGGGACACTGTTGAACTAAAGACACTTGGTTTCAGGTGCTAGAGAGAATTGAACTATATTCTTCTAAAATTAATAAGTGCATACTAAGTCCTAGACATTCTAATAACACTGTAGATAGAGAAATGAGAAGAGTGTTGTTTTTGATTTCAAGGAGTTCACAGTCTAGCAAATAAAGAAGAAGTAGTGTGTTCATTATTCAAGGGAGCAAGGAAGGAGAGCTAGATAAACAAGCAGGTTGTGGTTGTGGGAGGAAGATCCAGCAATGCTCCTGAGAATTGGCAGTGCTTGAGGTGTGTTGAGGGGTAAGAGAAAGCTAAACAGATTAGGGGAGTGGAGAGGGTTCTAGATTAAGGAACTAGGGTGGTGCAGGGTGACAGAAGTATGAGGAAGCACGCCTTGTTCCAGAAATTATGAATAGGCCATACACCTCTCTTAAAGTAATAAAAAAAGTCAAGGGCATTCATTGTGTAAATTTAATTAACACAGAGAATGACTAATCCGCATCACTTTAGATAATTCAACCCAAACCAGAGCTCTCTTTCGTGGTGATCTGAAAGATCTCCTTGTCTTGGGGTGTTGACTTAACAGATCCTGACTGCTACAGAAGCAAATACCAGGCTCTCAGCTTCAGTGATCCATTCATGAGGGTGTGTCTGTTGTGGTGATCAAAGCATACCAGCTGTCTCATAAAATAGGATCTGGCTACTGCTTGGCACAAAAGTTTCCCCAGTTAAATCCAACCCCCTAATGAGATTCAAGATCCTCTTTCCCTCATGTATCCTTCCAGAATAACAGTAACAGATTTTGGTGAGTAAGAATAGTCTTTGGAGTTAGATAGCCCTGAATTTGATTTTAATTCTGTTACTCACTTAAACTCTAACATAAAAGTAACAATTTTTAGCTTGAGCATCTTCATCTGTGACATGGGTATAAATCATACCTTATTAGTGTTGTTTTGAGGATTCAATAGGATAATTTATGATAATTCAATAGAATAATTTATAATTATATGGCAATTTTATAATTAGATTCAGATATTTTTTATTATATTTAATTTGAATACTTAATAGTTTTTAGATATGTTTTTGACCTTTGAAATCTTTGTAATTCCTGTCAGACAAAATCTACTTGACCAAGGCTAGATGTCACCATCTTCAAAGCAACTTTCTGAATTCCCCTAACTGAAATTAATCATTCTTTCCTTATTTCCATAGAAATTGGTGCAGTTAGTACAGAAATCATAATAATAATTTTGTTGAATTTAAATCCAGTGGGAAGAGACAGTATAAGAGACTATAATTACAATGTCTAGAATAATTTCTGATGTTTATTCATATGATTTGTTATTTTATAATGAGCATTCAAAAATAAAACAATGATTCTATTAAGAATTCTTCCATTAATAAACAAATGGATTATTGTGATTTCAATTTACAAATGAATTCATGCCCCTGTATCATACACACAATGAGAAGAATGACACTCATCTAGTGACACATTGGGAAAAGCTTTCCCCAATGGGTATCTGTGTTTATGCATGGAATACGATGTGTACCCAGGATAAAATGAAGCATTTTTTTCTCTCTTAGCACACATTTTTTAAATTGAAGAATTATATAAAACATTATTACATTTAGTAAGACATTGCAATCAGAAATATTTAAACAGGGAATTTTTAAAAGAATAATTCCCTTTGAACAAGTTAATAAATATGCTCATATTCTAAGTGATTTCCTTTCCCCTCACCTAAGATTTTTCCAAGAGAGCCCATTCATTCATTTAGTAATGCCATCTACTTAAGCAATTCCACAGGTCAGGCAATATGGCTCAAACAATATGCTGTTATATTTACTTATCAAATCTCATTTCCTAGACTTCTGCATTCATTTTCAAACCTTAACATAAATGCTATATTAAGTTTACTTCTTAGACAAAACAATATTCTAACTCTTAAGCAGTGAAGAGGGATCTTGGTTTATGCTTTCTATTTTGTTTGGGATGATATTTAGAAATGCCTCACTTTCAGAATCTGGAAATACATGTGAACAACCCTCACCATCGGGGCATGATGGTTAAGTTGCCTCTCACTGTATGCTGAGAGAGAAAATGGAAAGCTTCTGTTCTTGTTTCCACAGAGAATGTGGGGGAAGGCATCCATAAGAGGTGGATTTCCTCTTTTAGAGGTAATTGTTAAGTTTTTGCATATTGATAAAGAGAAAGGAAAAACTCACAGAAAAAAATCTCTTACCCTTCTCACAACTAGTTTCATCTCCTTTCAAACTTTTAATCTGTTAATCAATGCTTATTTCTATTTTATTTCTCAAATTTCATAGTGTTTTCAGTTTTGACTTCACTAACACTTTATATTCAATTATCCACTAGTCATTTTATAATTCTGAGAATTATTGGTTTAATAGAATGCACATTTCAAGAGTAATGTCCATGTCAGGACAGAATTGAGCACATGAAGAGGCTATGGGGTGGGCCATTGATTGATTGTTAAAATGACCACAAACCAGTGATGCTTGGCTACACCCTGAATTTCATCAAATTATAGATTAATAAAGTATAGCAGAATCTTTGTTATAAATAACTAAATTGAGGAATGACTGTAACAGTTGGCAGTACCCACAATTTGAAAACTATTACAAAATGTGCAATGCTTTAGTTATTTTGCACTTAAACTTCATAAAACCTATTTCTTTAAGAGATACTTTTTGTTCCAAATAGCAATAGCAAAGTCCATGCAATAGACAAAATTTAATCCTCTTCATTCTGATGAAGTTATAGTATTGAAATACTGGCTAGGGTATCTGAGAAATGGGTTCAAGGTTTTGTTCTACAACTAGCTCCTGTGGTAATTTAATCCACTTTTAGATTCGTTGACTATAAAATTGGTGAAATGGGTAAACGATTATGTAAGATGACTCAATTTCTATAATAGTTTTATTCATAAAGGAACAAGCAAACAAACAAACAAAAAAACAACAAGAAGTCCAATTACTTCCTTATGAAAGGAAAAAGCCCTGAAAATGTTTATTTCATTTCATTTACATTATCTTTCTAGTAACATTATAGTTACTGCTATATAGTTTACATATTTTACAGAATTAAATAAAACTACTCTGCAGAATTTCTTTTTCTTAAGCCAACTTTTGTGTCTACTGAAGCCATCTGTGCACGTTTCCATTTCATTCATTCAGTGTGAGTAGTAATATTAGAAACCCAGCTTGGTAATGGATCAAATAGGTTACTAGTTATTCTTGGTAGGAACTCAAAGTCATATTTCAGAGTTTTATTTTAAGTATAGAAATGAATTAAAGGCTCTATGAAGATAGGAATCATGTTTGTCTTTTTTACCTCTGTGCTCACAGACCCAAGACCAGTGTTCAACACCTAGTAGCTTCTAAGTAAATATTGTTGAGTATATTAAAAAAAGATAGGTGTGCTTTAGAAAACATCTGGCTGCCAAATGAAAGCCCTATGATCCAGGTCAATAAAACTGCTTAAACTATGTTTCACATCGTTTTAGACAAAATTAGAAAAAAGTAGTGAAAAAATTCCCTTTACTGGGGAAAATGCTAAGATTTCTCTTAAGATCTGTTTTTATTGTAGATTTGTCATAAATTTTCTTTTGCAATTCTAAATTAATATTACAGTAATGATACAAATTGATAAAGTGCAATAAAATTGATATGTGTATATATACTTCCTTTTGAGGAGCCACTTCCTGTTGGCAAACTCTTCTTAAAAAATTAAGCATGCCCTATCACTTAATATTGCTTATCTTGAGAAATCGTTTGAAAAAACAAATGACTTCAGATATCTATTAACATATGTTCCATATTACTTTACCATTTCCTTTCAGAAATGTACTTGAAAAAAATTTTTTAAAGAAATATTTCTCTAAAGAAAATACGGCCAGATAAAACTTCTTTGAAAATCCCAAGAACGTGGACATCTTGATTTACGTGACTTTCTGTAGGCCTCAAGACCCATTGGATTTGTGAAATGAGTTATGCACTTTAGACAATATCAAAGGATACAAAATATTTTCTTTAAGTTTTTTGGCGTATATTGAAAATCAGAAAAAACTAAGAAAGACTTATCTAAAGTGCTTAGCCATATTTATCCCTCGAAAGATCCAATCAAAGCCACATTAAACTTAGAACATCTGAATGTTTGTTGACTATTAATATTTTAAATATAGTACATTATACATCTTTGATGAATGTTTTGGTGACTATTAGGCTGCAAGATCAGCATCTAGTATACCGGTCATAAATCACTTACTGTTGGGAGTAATGTATGTTACTATATCTTGTCACTCTGTGTCGAGACGTCATTGGGGATGTAGAGCCAATGGTTTGGCTTATGTGAATGTCTGGACTCACCATTTGTGTCACTTGAATTTCTGGCCCTACCAAAATACCGCCACTCATCACAGGTCCCATACAACCATCAGTCATGCTACCATTGTTCATGTCAGGCATACCAGGGCTAGACAGGACTCTCTCAGCATAGTATACATTGTGTGTGTTGGCTAACTCGGCAGGCACACAAATATTCCCTTGAACATCATAGACAGGTGCCATCACTGTTTCTGTTACTACAACATTGGGAGGAAGCTGAGGATCAAAAACAATTGTTGTGGGTTGTACACATGGGTCAGCAGTAGTGTAAGTCTCAGTCACTATGATATCCCCATGAATCACGGGTTCAGAGGCTGCCATTTCTGCTTGGAATTCAGCTTCTGAGAGAGTCATTCCTGAAGATTCATTAACAAAGTAATTAGGTCCCAGCAAAGGGAGGTCAGTACTGATAGGGATACAGGCCTGGTGTGAAGGAAATGGCTCAATTTCGGTGTCTAAGCAGATTTCAGCAAGAGTCCTAAATTTTGGATCTAAAGTTTCCATGTAGCTTTCATCCAGGTCGTCCACGATCCAACTGCAGCAACCAATGGAGCCCACAGGTGACCCAACTCCCTCGTGGTCGTAGATAAGCAAGCAGTCATTGGCTGGTCGGCCTTCATCCTCATCTGCATATGCGTATGCTTTCTAAAATTAGAAGAAAAATGGAGAAGTAGAAGTTTCCTTTCCCTTAAAATAATCAGAGAAGCCCTGCCAGTGGCCCATGCTTATAATCTCAGAGGCTGGGGAGGCTGAGGCAGGAAGATTGTGAATTGAAAGCCAGCCTCAGCAAAAGCGAGGTGCTAAGCAACTCAGTGAGACCCTGTCTCTAAATAAAATGTAAAATAGGCCTGGGGATGTGGCTCAGTGGTCCAGTGTCCCTGAGTTAAATCCCTGGTACCTGCCCCCCCAAAATAATAATCAAAGAAGACTAATAGCAATGCTTCAGAAACTTCTAAGGTTAAATCAAGGAATAAATTGAGGAAAAAGACTAGCACTTAATGTATTACTAAATAACTGGAATTTTTATAAAGGAGATCAGATTGCATTAATGATGCATTCAATTTGAGGATTAAACATGAATTTCTCTTATTTGAAAACTAATAAATGATAATGACTATATTTTGTTCAGATTTGAATCAAAATTAATATTTAAATCTATTGTAGTTATAGATTTTTGTTTCTGGAATAAAATTGTATTTAGTTATGTTCAATCTATTTATATAAAGAGAGATATTTGATCAATTTGAAATGAAAGCATTTATAAAGATTTAAATCTTTCTGAGCTACAGGGAATTGTGTTAGAATGTTCATGAAATTTTATGTGGCTTGAGCTGAGAGAGCTGGAATGATCTCTGGAGTTAGTTCCATAAAAAGGAAGGCACTAAAAGATCATCTACCATGATTTTAAAATTATTCTTTAAAGAAAGACATTTAAAATGAAACCTTAGGTTGGAGCACAATATGTAGAATAGAACAGATGCAAGTAGAATCTCCCTGTTTGGAGGGGGTGCAGACCTGCCAGCTCTCTTCCTTCTTCCCTCACCTATAATGGTCTTTGTTTTTTAAAATCAGAAAAAAAAAAAAAAAAAAAAAACCTGAAAAAGCCTTATCTAAAGTGCTTAGCCATAAATCTTATGGAATCTTACAGGTCCGGCAAAACAGCATTTGAAATCCCTTGATGTAGTTCAACCTTCTGTTTACCTTATAAAGTAACTACAAGCCCAGAGAAGGTAAGAGTTGAATTGCTTGCCCAAGACCCAAACAGTCTTAAAACAAAACTTCAAATCCAATTTTCCTTTTTACACAATATGGTGTTTCCCCTCTGATCCAGCCTCTAAATTCTTCCATTAGAAATGAATGATTTTTAGGCTTTGAACCAACAATTCATGAGTTTAGAATAACCTTAAGCCTTTGTTATGTAATATTTGGAATGACTCCTCAGTAAGAGGGTAATCTCCTCTTGCATGCATGGAACACAAATTAGTTTCCCCGGGGTAGATGTTGGAGATGTGTAAAGTGGCAGGAAGGAAGCATTAGTAAAATTTTGCAGAGGCTCACCTTGGGGTAGGGAGAGCTTGAGTCTCCTGAAATCACCTCAAAAATTTAGCACCATTTTTAAAGTGTCGAGCTAAATGTTTTGGGAAGGATGATCTCAGTTCCCACAAAGGAGAACACATTTTTATTTTGTCTCATAAAGCACTGATGATAACCAAAGGAAAAGTGCCAGATGCAATCTGCCATTAATCATAGAGCACCTTTGATACTGGTGGGGGTTTTATGAATAATTTAAAAATATTTCTTCTATGGTATATTATTTGTGCCTGTTCTTTGAATGAATTGATTAATGGTACCTACCATTCATTTCAATGAATTTATAGTCTGAAACAGTATTTTTACTTGTTTAAATAAGAGACAGGGTTTGACAAAGTTGCTGAGGCTGGCCTGGAACTTGAGATCCTCTAGCCCTAGCATCCTGCATCTCAAAGATGGCATGTGTACACCTTGAGCCCAGCTTATTGCAAAAGTATTTTTAACTACTAATTTTAATACATAGTTTACATCTGCAACAACATCTTTAGCATCTTTTTTTTTTTTTTTGTGAATAGCAGTGGTGAAATTCATGAATAAAATAGGTTTATTGAAATATGAGATCCAATGGATTGCTAATTAATCAAATTAAACTTTCTAAATAGGGTACACAAGATTTATTTACCCATTATGTCATTGTATTAGGCCAGATCAGTGACTATGGACCTTTCTTCTTTGGGATGCTCATTAATAGACCTATGACCCTTTTTCTTAGTGAGAATGAGGTTAATGGAGGACAGGATGGGTGACCTCGCTTCTAGGTCCTCATTTGTAACCCATTTGTGGTGATGCTATATGTCTACCTGAGCTTTCACCCCCTTCACTTCCCAGTCTTGACTTTTAATTTATTCTTCTCCATTTCTGGAGAACAGATGGGACATCATAAAGAGAGGACATGAATGCACATTTTTTTTTTTCTGGATCAGCATTCTTCTTGTTTTTTGATGCTATGGGAAACAAAGAAGAAATCAGAAGGAAACAGAAGACAGGAAAATGGAGAATGAAGAGGAATGCTAGCTTTTTTTTCTTTTGTTTTACTTTCTTTCTTTTTTTTACAGTATTAATATGTGTTATGGCAACTGAATATGTAATACCGCTGTGAATTGGCTTTATGTATGTTAAGGAGAAGTAAAATGTTTTTTTATTAAGATTAGGATAGGGCTAAGAATATTTGAACTTATTTCTGGAGGGGCCCACTGCCCTTGTTTTCCTGTTGTGTGTAACTGCGTAAGAGAATTACCTCTGAGAAGTAGCTGTCCAGGAAGGCCATGTTCATGCCGGTGTCTGCATACTCCCGCAGGGTGCCTATGGTAGAACTCCTCTTCCTCAAGGTCCCCATAGCTCCTCCAGCCACCATGCCCTCAGCCATTCCAACGCCTGTATTGAGTTCCACTCCTGACACACCTCCTTCAACTGTTCCTCCACCTGCATAGGTGTTGGTGTAGATTTCTGAAAAGAGAGGATGTCCCTTAATAGTGCTTGAGTTGCCTACGTTGCTCATGCACCCCAAACATTGCCAGCTACTGTCTTCCAGCCCTCTACCACCCTACAATAAGCAGGCTCTGGAAAACCAGGCAAGGAACAGCAGGAATTACACCCAGAATCTCCAGGCTTGGTGAGAAAACAAAAGTAGCTGATACAGAGGGAGCAAGTTATGGGAGATAGACTTCGCCTTCGTGTATGCACAGAACCTTCTCCTCTAGACTTAGAGGTTCTGTAGAGCTTGCCAAGAGGAGCGGGGTCTCTGCATCGGTGCCAGTTCCTGCCTTTGCTACCTCTGGCAAGTGCCCCAGCCCCCATGAAAGAATGTGACTTGCATTTCCAACAGTCGAAATTCCAGGTCCTCATTCACACTGGTGCTGAATGGAGAGCTGGAATTCTCACATGAATGTTCAGTCAATGTATATCTTTGCATGGAAAGTGTCAGACTTGGGATACTAAGGAAAAGAAATCTCATGTCTGCTTCAGAATGGGGCAGCTCTCTATTTGGTTCCAGCATTGCACAATATCCAGGTATTTTTCAGTATTCTAAAGTGTGGGTGGGACTGGTAAGTTAGGAAAGTATAAGACACTGTTTATGCAAAAGAACATGTGAATTGAAGGAAAATTCTTCAACTTTTATTAGAACATATTTGCTGCTTTTTCTTTTGTTCTTATTTACATTGTAAATAATCCCTACAAGAGCCTATGCTCTGTCAGGGACAATTCTCATGTATATTTTGTGACATCTACCTGTATCATACCTAATATGTGTGTAATTTTGATATCATATTTAATATTTGTGTGTGTTTATTTGTTTATTTCTCCTAGCAGCACTTTGAAGTAGTAGGTATTGTGATAATTTCGATTTTAAAGAGAAGGAAATAGGCTCAGGGAAGTTGGGTCTTGCCCAGGGACTATTATTACTAATGAGTGGCTGAGCCAGGAATCAAATGGAAGCACTCTTATTTCAGAGTTTGTTGTAAAAGTCAAGTTTAAGATAGAAAAATAAAGTGGCCACTTCAACATGTCACTTTCCCTGTAATTATACGATCCGTTAAGGAGATCGACAGATATTTTTTGGGGGAGGGAGGGGTACCAGGGATTGACTTCAGGGGCATTCGGCCACTGAACCACATCCTTAGCCCTATTTTATATTTTATTTAGAGACAGGGTCTCACTGAGTTGCTTAGTACCTCGATTTTGCTGAGGCTGGCTTTGAACTTTCAATACTCTTGTCTCAGCCTCCAGAGGTGCTGGATTACAGTCATGCACCACTGTACCTGGCTGGATATGTTATTTTTTATAAGGTACTGTTAGGTGAGATAGGTTTGGTTGAATAATTTTGCAAATTGAAAAAGAAAAACAGAGTTTATTGTTCACTGACCAGAGGAATCAATACGATCCTGGGTATTAGAGGCTGTCATGGGTGCGCATATATTGGACACATCCTGAAAAGAAAAAAAAAAAAGATTTTAAAACAAATGTGTTATGTTAAACATTTTAACATTGACATCCACTCATTTTTGTGTCATGGGTAATCATTAAAGCATGCACAAGTTCCACCTAAACTCTGTGCTTCTCTGGAAAGTGACAGACCACTTACCCTGTCCTCGGGTTGGGCCCCCTCTATCCTCCAGGACTGCATCACTCCTTCTCCACCCTCAGGCACAGGAGCAAACCTGGTCCCCAGGCCCTCTGGTTGTCTTCGTTTGCAGCAGCACATGAGCAGCAAGAGTGGCGACACTGCCCAAGAAAGCAATAAGTAAGGGTTAAAATCTGTCGCTCAAGCTAGGAAGCCAATGAATTCATTGGTTTTTTGTGGCATTATGGTTAGAACCAAAGAGATAAATATTAAGATAAAAAATATTTAGGATAAATACTAAAATAAAATAAAATAAATTTTGCTCCTACAGGATTGAGAACACATCCATGTCTATAAATACTAACTTACCAAATCACATAGGACTTTAGAATGGAAATGGAGGGAGTGTGAGATCACTTAATCCAGATCCTTTACTGATAAATTAGGAAAGTAAAGTCCACTCTTTCCTCTAGTCCAAGATTCCTGAGCCTGTTGGTAGCATATTCAGGTCAGGAAGACTAATGAAATTCTAGTGCTATCCTGCAGAAAATGTAGCTGATTCTAGGTTTTAACCTTTAAATTCCCAAAGGCTTAAACATGCAGGTGCTTGGGTCTCATTTGGGGTTAGGACTCAGATGTGAGTAATTATAAAGCCTTCTAGGTGTTTCTTATGTGCTGCTAGGGCTGAGAACAACTGATTTAAAGGCTAGCTGCCATCTCAGTTGCTCTGGAATTGTGTTCTGGGAAAATGTCTCTAATATTATTTTGAGCATCATCCATTATTTTTTTATAGATTTACAAAATCACAGATTATTTTAAGGATGATAGGCTGTCCAAAAGTCAGTTGCTAATTTTTTATACTTTGAAATGATAATGTTTTAATTTGTGCTCATTCATTAACACATGTTCAATCCTTTTTAATTTTAGAACCAGTGTTTGATCCCCATGAAACTTAAGTCTTGCAAGGGCAACCTAAAATATGTGAAGTATTTCTGTTTTGAGGCTCTGCATGGTTTTTAAAAAGGTATATAGAGAGGAGAACTTCATTTTGAAAGTTCTGCTTGGGGCTCTTGCCATGGTCTTAGTTCAGAGCCCAGAAGCTAATTCCCTTTTCTAAACTCGATTCCAAGCATCCTATTGCATCATAGTCAGTAGGTCACCAGATCACCTGAGCTCCAGGTCCTTACTGATTCCTTGTTGCCTGTGGACCAAAGCCCAGAACATTTGGTATATCATGAACGTGCCTCCACGTGGGCCCCCAACCTATTTTTTAGCCTGTTCACCTCCTGAGTGTGCTCTGCTTTTCCATCCTCCTCCTGTCTGTTGTTTTATTTTGGTTTTAGGTTCTGAGGATTGAACCCAGGGCCTCACTCATGCTAAGCATGTGCTGGGATATACTCCTAGCCTCTCTCTGTTTGTGCTATTTCTTTGTTGTAGATGGCTATTTGGCTTTCCTACAAACATCATCCTTCTAAGAAAATTCTCAGCTTTCAAAGGCCGGCTGAAAATCCATTTCTTCCATAAAGATTTTCCCAACCTTCCTATTTTGAATTAATTGCTTTTGCTTTTCTGCTCTTAAAGCATGTTGATGAAATTCCCATTATAAGTTTATTTTATGCTGTTCTATATCTGTGTTGGTGATTAGCATGGTTTCTCATTTTCAGGACACTCACTAACTTCAGGTCATCTCAGGTACCATTATTGAATAGATGCCTACCTTATCAGCCCCATCATTTATTTCCAAGGACACACAAAAATTGCCATAGATTCTAAAAAGAAACAGCCACGTGAGCCTAGCCATCTTGGTGTGCCTGGTGACAGCCCTATTTTGAAGAACTGCTGAAAAGGTGGACTTAATACAATACTTACAGAGCAGAAGTAAGCCACCCATCACCATCATGCCAATTGCTGCTGGTCCAAGACCAACATTTGAATCTCCAGCTTGGTCATCAGTGATTGTCCCATACATGTCATCAGGGGATGAGCTGATGTCTTCATTATAGATACCAGGAGTGCTAGAGTGCAGGCATATGCCATTGCTATCACAACTGCAGGCATCAAATTGCACAATCTGTGGCAATTCACATGCCCTGTTATAGCTGTCCTTCACTAGGATTGGGATTTGGTGAAGTCCTGGAGATATCACCTCATCAGTTGTCAGGATTGCAAAGGTTCCTGAAAAGGAAAAGAAGAATCAGAATCAACTAAAATTCCTTGAGGGTAGCTCTTAATACCCAAGACTAAATTAGAAACCGAAGTTTCCATGCTCTTAGTCGTAAAGCATCCTCTCCTTTGATTAATATTTTCATTTATAATTAATTGTTCAGTACTGCTCCCTGCTTATTTCTACAAAGCAGGTAGGGACTCTGTTGGTTAATTCTGGAGCAACAATACTTGGAATTTGATAGACACTCAATAAAATTGGTCTAATGATGAATTATACTTAGTTGAAAAAAATATTGGAAGTTTCCTATTGAGTATTACAGTTCACAAAATAACCTCCTTAGGGCTGTTATTTATTAATTGCCTTTGCATTTAAAATTAATTCAATAGCTATTCTAATTCTTTGTGCTACCTTGCTTATGAATTTCTATGTGAAATATTGCTTAAACATTGGTTGATATATACTTATTAACCCAGGGAAAGTTTAGAGATGATTAAATCTTTACCTAAAATATGAATAGTAACGAACTAATGTTAATAGTAACTGATTAATGTAACACATAATTTTTTTTTGTTGTGATGGTTTATTACCTTCAGTTAGCTTTATGAAAAGCCAGCTGTGTCTGTCAAAATCTAACCTGTGCACAAAATAAGAATCAAGTAAGGCAACATCACAGCAAGTAGACAAAGTTCATTGCATTCTTCAACATTAACATGGATTCTAGGAAAATTCTCTCTAGTGTGGTTATATTTATTGGCAAATTTATAATGTCATTTGTATACCTTTGCCAACCTTCATGTAAAACAGTTTATAAAAATATTTTTTACTCAGAATACCTAGGATATGAATGAAAAAAAAAAGTGGCTAGCAATTATCATTTAAGAATGGTCTATTCAGCTTTATAGAGGAAGGTAGATTCAGAATTATCCTGATTTTATTGGAATTTCTTTAATGTGTTTAGCTTTTAAAATATTGACATGGTTTTGTTGCCAAAAAAATAAAATTAAAAAAACTTACACCAAGTCTTTATTGGTGGTATTTTTTCCTGTATCATTCAGAGTTTCTCCATTCTGTAAAGTCTGTGAATGATGAAGCCTGGTGGTCTCAGAGTGGTAGGAAGTATTTTCTCTCACTTTGAGGGTAGTCTGACGCCCTCCTTGGTACCCCTCAAAGTTTTTTGTATTGCCCCAAATAAATGTGAACTCAGGGTACTATCTTAGTCCAAATTAGGTTTCTCATAGTATTTAATTTTCTATTTATACAATTAATGTTTCAGGAGAAAGAATCCATGGTAGATAAAATGGTATGTTGTTTAAAATTTACTGATTTAAAAAAAAAATCAACGTCAGACATTCATTTCTATGTATCTATAGTCAGCACAGATACACAGAATGAGTCTTTCGCTTCACATTCTTTGGTTTATGCAATCCTTTATGTTTAAGTACTTTGCATGATTCTAATTTTAATGGCTGTGTAGTACCACATCTTAATAATATGTACCAGAATTTGTTCAACCTTTCTTCTAATACCGGGAAATTTGGGTTTAAATTTTTATCCTTACTAATAGCTCCCGATTAGAAACATTTTCATGGATCTTATGTGCTCCTTAGTAGACTATATGTAAATGTGTCTACATGAATACCCAAATTTCAGAGATTAGTGACATGCATGAAATTATTCAGAATAGGGAATTGTGACATTAGGTGATTTAGTTAAGCGTTCTGTTTATTTCATCTGATCAAATATTGGTTTACTTACTATATAAAATGATCGGTAAACTGGTATCTGTTATTTATATACCACTATTTATAAATGTAGCATTGATGAAACATTTTGACTTTTATTTCAGTCTAAATTTTTCCTCAAGTATCCTAAGTGTGTATAAGAAGTTTTGTTTTTTTTCCATTTAATGTGAATATGGCAAGAATTATGAAAAACAGACATAGAAATGACTTACCTAATTATTTGGTAACTGTTTTGCTTTTGGACTTAAAGTGTGACCCAGTTTACATTTCACTTACCATTTATTGGTTCGATATTCCATATGTCAGCTGTTCCTGGTGGTTCATCAACAACACAGAAGGTAAAGGGAGCCCCATAAGAATGATCACTAACATAGATAGGGACCGATGGAGAAACCATGCAGGTGGTGCTACTTTCAGGACAAATGACTGGACAGTAGTCATTGACATCAGGAACCTCAATACATATGGTTCCTGTAGCTGTTTTCCTAGAGCCGTCTGAAAAGCAAAGCATTATGTGTTGAGGTAAATGGTGCCAGGGAGAAAACTCTGTCTCATATTTCATGATGATGCAACAGTATATAGGAATCGTTCACCAGTTCATCAACCTGCTGTCACTCTTGCTCTTCCTTTGTGTGTTTCATTTCAGTCACATTGGCTTCTTTTGCTTTTTTTTTTTTTGCAGTGCTGAGACCTGCACCCGATGGCTTGCTCATGCCAGGCAAATGCTCTACATCACCAGCCCTTTTTGGGTTTCTTGAACAAGTTTTTTCCTAACTTGAGGTTCTTATGCATTCTGTTCACTCTTCCTAAAGCGATTTTCATCTTCATTTCATTCCCCTAGAATCTCTGCATCCTAAGGTGGAAAATTAAATGTCCTTCCTCAGAGAAGTTTCACTGCTTTCTATTCTCACACTGTCCCAATAAATTAGGGCCCCCCAGACCAGGTGATAACCCTCCTTTTGGGATGCTTATGGAGATTTAGGTGTTGGAAATAACTGCAATTAAAATTAAATAATTGTGTATTTTTCTTTCTGTTTCTTTGTTGATTTGAATCCCTTCCTATTTCTCTCTGAAATGGTAATTCTGAAAACAAATATGAGTCAATTAGATTTTTTTTCCTCCTAACCCATTTGAAACAAATTTTTAGTTAACATAACTTATTGGAAAAGCCAGGGGATAAGAATTAGGAATCTGTGCCTGGTCCACTTTTTTATTCTATGTTCTCTGATAGTGAATAAAGAATTTCATGTTTGCTTTTGCAACCCACTTTGGTTTTCTCATCATTTGCAGACTAGAACATTATCACTTCTAGGACTTTACTAGGTCATTTTCTGAGAAGTTAATTGATTTTGTTTATCGCTTTTGTGTGTGTATCTAAGTGGAGTCACTGAGTTTACCAAATGACAATAAACCAATGAACTATCCATGTCTAGAATGATTTTGTACAATCTGTTCTGATACCCTATTTAGCAATGGATTTTCTAAAGTGTTTATTCACTCAGTCTCTCATTAGAGAGATGATCGCATAGATTGCTTTGACATTATCTGGTCCTCTTTGCTTTCTTATGGCCTCGTGGTGTAGCAACCAAAGCTGAAGCTATTGCTTACAGCACCTACTCTCCAATGCAGTTTGGTTCCCCTGGAGTTCTGTCTTCATTCATGATGGTCAGGAAGCCTGGGTCAAAACAGAACTGTCTGGATATCTCTGTGCCCGTGCAGACATTGCTCAGGTGACAAATGATGAGCCTGTGTTTAGTTTACCATGGATACATTTTGATTACACTTTCACTCTCTCTTTCTGCACTTGAAATGACTACTTTTCTAATTCTAGTTTAGGAAGATTGGCTTCAAATATAATCAATATGTAAACATGGGGTGTAGTCAACATGGTTAGAATCCATTTCCTTCTAGAATACTGATAGTAAATATTATTCATAAACTGACTCAGATGTTGAAAGTTACACCCTTAGGATGAAGACCAGAATCTGTGGCCCATTGCTTGGACTTTAATCATGGTCTCTTTTTGAATCTTACACTGCTCATTGTATCTTTCTCTTGTTTGGCTATTGTAAAGATCAGATATAAAAGTAGTGCAAACCTACAGTATTTATCTTACATTAGGCATGTGTTTGAGACATCTATCTTTCCCCTTCTTTCCTGGTTACTGACCTATCTCTGTTTTGTTCTGTAGCAGCTGGTTTCCTAGGCACTGCTCTGAAGAATCATTAACTGCTGAATAATCAACAAATACTGTTGCTACTCATCCAGATGAATGTGTAATAGATTTTCTCATGTGGGAAGTGGCTCAATTACAAATTAATTCAGTGCATTTGTGCTTCTGTGCTTTAAATTTGAATCTTCTATCTGGAATAATCTAGTACTTTCATGGATCATAGTATCTTATTCTGGGCAATATGTCTAATAAAACAGTACTCATGCAAATTTGTCATTGTAGCTCAGTTTTGGTGGCTCTAAAAAAACTATTGCCTTCCCAGCAGATGATCCCAGAGTGAACTTTGTGCACAGATTGTAGAATTTACTTTAGGTAAGCATTCCTGACATACTCAACAGGTGGGATTAGTCATACTTAAGAGATGAGGTAATAAATGGAAACAAAATTATATACTTTTTCTTTTTTTGGTGATGCTGCAGACCAAACCTATGGCCTCACACATATAGGCAAGCTCTCTACCACTGAACTAACTCCCCAGTCCTATGTATATATATATATATATTTTATCTTCTATGTTTTATGCTGTAAACCGTATTAAATTCTTTTTGAAAGTAGGTGAAATAAATTATTCCTAAGTGTAAATTAAATTCATACGTGTAGTTAAATTCAGTTTTTGATCTTAGGTGCTTAGAACGTTCCTTAAGTCTTGCCTATACCACTAAACGATATATTTTGTGACTCATATATCAACATAAGAATAAAAACATTTATAATATTTAATATAATAGGATTAATATTTTAAAATATTGGAAATAAATATTCTTACCATCTATAGCCAGGATCTGTGCTGTGTACATCCCATTGGTAATATATTTTGACTTCTTATCAAATTCTCTAGAGAATTGTATTTCACCAGTCCTTGAATCAACTTTTAACCAGTTGCCTGCATCATGCCCTATGATATACCTGTTTTTAAATAAGTACATCATTATGCTTTTATGAAAATTAATACTTTAAAATCACATAAGAGATTCAATGTGGTAAACATATTGTTTCTGCGTGCTTTATAGTGACAATTGTCTTGATTTATAAAAGGTATCTATCTATCTATCTATCTATATGACAATAAGAAGCCAATATTAAATGTAATAATGCACAGGTTGACAAAAAAGTATTGAAATTTCATCATTCTTACTCTTCTAGCTCTGAGTGTAATTAACAAAATGTATGAGTTTCAGATCTATTTATTAAATCATAGCAATATTAAATATATTTTATTTATTTTAAAAAACAAATATGGTGTATTCATTTTTACATGTGGCATACTTAGTATATGTGCTGTGGATTTTAGGGCATCTTGATTTCAGAGAACCCCATTGCTGGCCTGTTTGGGAGCTCTCCTTGATTCTCTGGGTCTTTTTATAGCTAATGGATTTAAAGTTCTTGACCTAATTGGAGGGAGATTTGGGTCTCTGTACCAGGCACAATTTCAAATCTTCAGTTCATTTATTTGATATTCTTCTTCCTTTCCCCTATACCATCAGGCTTCATACTTTTTTGAATCTGTCAACTTGTTATTTGATTAGTTGAAACTGTTAATATCAAAGTAATTTATAAGTCAATAGACTTTCTTGACTACAAAAATATTAGAAGGAATAAAAGGAGAGAGATGGGAAGCATATAGAGAAGACCCATCTACTTCACTGTTTTACATCGTTTTAATTTGTATCTATGTACCTAGTTCCCCTCATACCTACCTTTCTATTTCTCCCATTATGACTCTTTATGTTCATTAAATTTCTGAAACAACCATGTTTTAGCTTTTCCTATTGTTTTTCTTTTTCCTCTTAGGTTAAGCAGAGGGTTGAAATGAGTCTCAAAGTCATAGACACCCATGGGCTTTAAAAAAACAAGCAGTGACTCATCTTTAGAGTGTGTTTCTGTCTACAATATGATGTAATCAGCCTTAGTCCAGGCTAGTACAACTGGGTACAAGAGATCAAAGAGACTGCTGGAGTAACTTGGGTGGATCTTTAGTTCTACAATTGTTCCTTGCACACAACTAATCTTAAAATCAATCGGAGCTCTTATAAAAAAAATTTCAAATGCCACACTAGTTTTCTTAAAGAAATATTCATACAAAGAAGAGCAAAACAAAATCTTAAAAAAGTGTTTATAACCAAAATACACTAGCAGATACCACCATAAATTAACAATGGCCAGAATCAGGCTACACCAACATGAATCAAGCATTGGCAGTACCTGACATTTGTTGCAGGATTTCCTGTGTCCATATCCATGGCTGTGTATGTGCCAAGCACATAATTCAATAAGGAATCTCCTCTTATTCCTTCCCGTACACTAAAAGTCATGGAACTAGGATGAAATGTGGGTCCTTCTCTCACGTTAACAATTTGAATTCTCACAGGGGTTGAGTGCATTCGGAATTGAGAAGCAACGGAGTGGTGAAAATCAGCTTGGTTTTTAACTCCAATACCAAGATTAACATTAGGCACTTGTTCATAATCCAGGGTCTAAAATAACGAAAAGTGAAAAACTCTGAAGCAGCCAACAACTCTCTTTTTAATAGAAGGAGAAACCAGGACTAAAGCCCAGGAGCTATGCAACTCAGATTTTAAATGGGAAAAATAGTCATTACTGCATTGGGTATTTTAGCATCTGATTCTTTTTTGTCTTTTGGCATAATCAGGTAGGTATGTAGGTCATTTAAGTCTGTGGCTTTAAATTGGAGTCTAGTTTTGAATTTTTTATACAAAAACCCTTATACAAATGAACAGTTTATAAAAAATAAAAAATAAATTTAGAATGAAATAAAAAATGTTCACAACCGTTGAATGAATAAATCAATAGGACCCAGATTTCCTTTGTAGAACTCACATTTGAAAATCTGTTGGAAGTATGAAGAGCAGATTAAAGGAGTCAAAATATCTGACATAATTAAACAAATAATTTTTTAAAAATTATACAAACAGTTCTAAAGATCTTAGGAGTATTATAGTCAGCCTTACACTATAATTTAATTGCACTGGGCTTGGTGGATAAGAAGACTTCTTTATAGAGCTCATTCAAAAAAGTAAATACCACACCCTGAGAAAAATAACCTTTGAACTTGGTTTGCTGGGTGAAAGATGAATAGAATCGTTTTATCTAGAGTGACTGATGTGGTGACATGAAAAGTTCCAAGAGAAAAAGCCATTGTAAAAAAACAAGGGAGTGCTGGCCAATGTCTATCCAGATGTGCTCTGGAAGCTAAGGTGAGCATCACTTGCGATACATTTGCCAACAACAAAAGCCAAGATGTCTGTGGTCCCAGGGAAGTTCCAGGACATCATGAATGTTTTATTAGATTTTGGAGTTCAAATTTCCACATGTGCTGATAAGATAGATAGAAATATAAGCAGAAATTCACATGAATTTTTGTTGGGACATGGCTTAGCATGCCTCACTTGAATTTCAGCTAAAACCCTTGAGTTCAAGGATTTTGATTGCTTTTATACATCTGTTGACAGTTGCCACCATAATACAGATGAATGTTCCAGTGCACATAATATGAACTATGGAGCTAAATAGGAATTGCATACTCAAAGATGAATTTTCAATGGGAAGAGATTCCTGTTCTATAACTCAATTTTTGAAAAAAAAATATAACTCAATTTTTGTTTTCTAGAATTCCATGTTATCTTTAAGTAAATGAAAAATCTGGGAACTCTATTCTGGTAGAGAAATCTCTTGGGGTTTTCCTGTGTGTATACGCACAAATACACTTCTGTTCATTACAGTAGTTCTCTCCCTAATGAACAGACTGTAATGCAAACAGACTAACATGTGCCTACATTTTTACCTACTATAGGAACTCATGGAATCTAGGGACAGGAAGTTGATTGAGGATCAATATTCTTTTTAGCAGGGAAGATTACAAGGGGAAATGCAGACATTTGCATTTATTTTTTCCAAGTGGGATCCTTTGTCAAGAATTTTCTGATTGTGTCTAGACATCTTAGGTTTGCAAAGAGCAACAATAACAAACTGTTTACCCCAAAGTGTCTTCTTGGAGTGAATGACTAAATCAGATTCTTAGGACCTAAGGACTTAATTAATATAGTAATTATTTTTGTAAGTTTGATCTTTTCAGAGTTGAGCTCATAAGCCTATTGCTATTTTTTTTAAATTCCAAAGCATATCTTAGTGTTTAATAAAGGGCTGAAAACTTTTTTTGGTCAAAGATGTGATAGTAAATATTTTAGATTTTGGGAGTTGTGTACAATTTCTGTCTTAGTATTCATCTCAGCCCTTGCAGTATGAAAATAGCTAGAGAAAAATGTATAAATGAATGAATGTACCTGTGTTCCAACAAAAAAATTTATTTATAGAGTAGAGGGTTGGCCAGATTTGGCCTATGGGCCAAAGTTTGTTGACCTCAAAGCAACATTCTCAAACAGTAAGACTATAGTGTATTCTTTGAGTCCTTGTGTTTTCGGAAAGAATTTTAAAATTTTGTGGTTTCGTTTGAATGACAAAAAGTCTATAGATATCTTCTATAATTTTGGTGACCCTATCATAAATTAATACACTGCATGATTTCAGTGCATGATTGTATTTTGTTGGCAAAGTAATAATACTTTAAAAATTGCATCAGGCACTTGAGAAAAGGAAAGATACTTGATGCACAGATGATGTGTTTATATTAGGTGAAGGCTAAATGGATTCCTAATATACTTTTAAAAAAATTCACAGTAACTTCAACAGAAAAAAGTAGTGACCAAATGGAATAATCACAAGCATATTATGTACCAACCTAAATAGATGTGCTTGTGTGTGTCTGAGTGTGTATTTTCCTGCCTATAAGTGTTGTTTATATTGTTAATGGTAATTTCCTTGGAGAAACAAAATTCTCTCATTATATGAATATTCATGTGATTTTATTGGTTTGTGGTTTTGTTTTTAATTTATCAATGTTTAGATTTCATTGTTGCCCATGAAGTAAAATAATAAAGTAGTTTAAGAAAAAATATAGGAAAAAGTCACCCCTGAGAGTTCAGTATTCAAGGTTCTCAGCATAATGACCCTATGCAACATCTATATTCCTCCTCTTTCTTTCCTATGTAAAACCTCTGCTTAGCACAGCCTCACAGGGCTCTTACCAGGGACCAAATATGTGGCATGTTTTCTTGCCTCTCTGTGTTTTTGTTCCTGCCATTATCCACAGTAGCAATCTCAGTTACAAGGTCTTACTTAAATCCTACTCTCTGCTTTTCAGACAAATCTAGCTCAGAAGGATCCCCCCTTCTCGTATGTCATTAATTAGTCCATATTTCATCCATTTGGCAATCAGTTAAGTTTTATATCATGAAATCTTTAACATTACTTATTATATTGCTAAATTCACAGCTGTTATTTAATTCAAAGATACTTCCTTTATGTTATCAAATAGATCTGGGCACTGTGAGAACAAACCAGTCTTCTTATTTTTCCTTAGTAATAACTGTATTGTTGGGAGGGAAGGGTCAGACTGACACAGTGGCCTGCTTTAGACACATGTCAATATAAGCTGCATTCAAGGTTTTATGGAGTACTTTAAAGGCAGATTCTGTCACTGAGAATTATTAAAAAATTCCTTGAAAGAAAATATCGCAGATCCCATACTATACCTTGACTACTTTCAAAATGCCTTCATTGGTACGTGGGTCTGTTTGAATATCAAACCAGTTTCCATCATTTCCAGAAAGGATTAAATATTGTGCCAACCAATTATCGGTGCCTTCTTCATCAAGATCGATTGCTCGTAGTCTGATCAGTTCTGAACTCAAACAATTTTCTTCAATGCTTGCTGAGTACTGAAATGACATGGATTGATTTTTATAATCAATGAATTTTCAAAAGCAAAAAGATACTTACTAATACATAGTCATCTTCTAAAATGCTAAAGATGAACTATGTCAATGAGTTTGTACTGTTGTTAAATGGCAAATGTCCAATCATAAATAAAAGAATTAAATAATTCTATGATAATAAAATAGATTTTCATGTGCTGCATGTGAAATCAAGATCAAATTGGCACTCTCTCATTTTGTCTTGATTTTAGAATTCAAATGATTGTCTTCATCTGCATCTGTGGCACATAGCTTTATCACTAGTGCATCTAGAAATAAAGATAATGGTGGAAAATGGCTGGGAATTCCATTAAAATTAGTTCAGCAAATCAGTAGACATAAAAAGGAAGAGTGGTTGGACTTCTGAATTCTCTTCATTAGAGTTTTCTATGAGTGTGTGTCTGAGTGTGTATATTTTTATCAACAGTATATTTTTATCGACTCCATTCCTTTCTGTTAGATAGGGATCAGATTTTTTTCTGTAAAGGGCTGATAATAAATACATTAGGTTTTATGGCCCAGAAAAATCCCCCCTTTTTTTTTTGTCTCTGCTGTTGAAGCACAAGTTAGCTACAGACAACATGGAAAAGAATGATCAATAAAATACATTTTTACAAAAACAGGTGGCAAGTCAGATTTGTCCCTGGTATTCTACATTTTACGTTTTTATGCCTGAATATGAAAACTGAAGTTGAGACTGCTTGGGATTCTGGTGGAATTAATTCAGCCCATCATGAGTCATATATGAACATATTACTATTACATTATTCTGATTTATATCAACGAATTTATACATTTCTGTGAGGAGAGTATATGGAGTAGATAGTTCTTGCTTTCAGATAGATTTTCTTTGAAATAGTGAGTTAAAAATAAACATATAGAGGCTAGGGTTGTGGCTCAGTGGTAGAGCGCTTGCCTTGCACGTGCAAGGCACTGGGTTCGTTTCCCTGGCACCACATAAAAAAAAACTAAATAAACAAAATAAAGGTGTTGTGTCCATCTACATCTAAAAATATTTTTAAAAATAATTTAAAAAGATAAATATATAACATTAAGTTATATTATTATACACAAGAAATTCAGAGTTCATCCATACAAGCGACAAAACCAGGCTCATGAATTAATAGGAAAGCAAATCGATTACTGATACTTATGGAAGAATGATCATAGGAAAATCCACTTACTGAAGTCTTCTCTAAGATGGGGAAATTATCATTGACATCCAAAACCTTGATTCTACAGTCACACTCAGAGGACAGTCCATCTTCAGCTCCATCACGATCAGAGCCCCGCACAAGTAGGTTGTACATACTGTGTTGCTTAATTAAGATAAAAAAAAATTGTAAGACTTAGATCTTGTCTTGAATAGAATTTAACATATTCCAGTGCCTTTATCTGTCTTTTCTTTTATATCCACATTAAATAAAATCTATATGATTGATCTTTTAATTTTCATTAAAAAATGACTTTGCTTGTTTTCCATCCCTCCTTCACGTGGGATTAAGGGAAGACATGGATCATTTCATCTTTGTCTCTTCATAACTGAATTCTTTATTTCTTATCATTCCATTCACAGAAGGCTTTACCTCTCTGTCAAGGAAACTGGACATGGTGCGGACTTCTCCAGTGTACCTGTTCACAATGAACATTGGTGCACCTGCAGGCTCCTGAGAAATGATCTTGTAGGCGATTTTAGAATTCAAATGATTGTCTTCATCTGCATCTGTGGCACTTAGCTTTATCACCAGTGCATCTAGAAATAAAGATAATGGTGGAAAATGGCTGGGAATTCCATTAAAATTAACTCAGCAAATCAGTAGACATAAAAAGGAAGAGTGGTTGGGCTTCTGAATTCTCTTCATTAGAGTTTTCTATGAGAGTATATTCCATAACTCACAGCTATACTGGTGATTAGTAAAACAGCAGTGGTTTGCTTATATGAAACTTATATGAAACTTTCTACTATTTATAAAGTACTTGACTCCTTAAATGATTAAATGGTAAATTAGTAAATATAGAGCTCTTTAGTGTGTGAAAAAGAAGTTCAGAAGACTATCAAAAGTCAAAGGAAGTGATTGTGTCAGTTTCAATTTTTTGCTATGGTCTTGTGAAACTACTTTAAAATGCCCCATTGAGAAAGATTATAACTTAGTTAAATTCAACATTGCAATTATTTACTGAACACCCACATTCTTAATTGTCACTCACCTAAAAATCAGAGAATTACTATAGATTACACTGGAAGATAATAGCACTTTACTAAGTAGTCAAAAATACATAATTACTGAAAAGAAGATTTGCTCATAGGAATATAAGACATTTTTAATTATTCACAGAGACAGAGAACAGGCATCCCAAGTCAATCCCCAAGGATAGTAGTGCATGGGGCACATTTTCCAGAGTTGACAGATTCCCTGACATACTTTTGCTTTGCAGGTCCCAAAGTAAAAAATCCTACCCCAGATAACCAGGAAAGCCCTAAATAGAAAGATCCAGGATTCCAGGACATCATAGTCTGTGCAGGTTGTGCCCTGGCCCTGCAGTCTTTATCTAGTAACTACTCTCTCTGGAAGAAGCATTAACGACTTCTTTTTTTTAGCTTGTGATTTTTAAAAAAATTCTAATTTGTTATGTATGACAGCAGAATGCATTACAATTCATATTACACATATAAAGCATAATTTTTTCATATATCTGGTTGTACACAAAGTAGAGTCACACCATTTGTGTTTTTATATGTGTACTTAGGGTAATGATGTTCTTCTCATTCCCCTGTCTTTCCTACCCCCATGCCCCTTTCTTCCCCTCTCTCCTTTTTGCTTTATCTAGAGTGCATCTAATCCACCCATGCTCCCCCTCCAACCCCATTATGAGTCAGCATCCTTATATCAGAGAAAACATTCGGCATTTGGTTTTTTGAAATTGGCTAACTTCATTAACAACTTCTCATCAGCAAGGTGGTGACTTGGATGAAGGTTTTGCCTTCTCTTCCTTCACCAAGGCTGTCCTGAAGTATGTTAGCAAGGAAGCACTCTCTGTTTTGCCTCCTTTTGGCAAATCTTTCTCTCTGCCTCTTTACGTTCTCCCATCCTTTACATTAAAAACCATTTTGTGTTTATCTGCTTTACTTCTGAAACTTATCATTTTTTTCCCAACATTTCCCTCCTAATGGACTTAGAGGTATTTTGGCAGGATTTGTAAGGGAAAGGGATGTTAGAGGACTGTGTGTGAGGAAGAGGCATAGCCAGCACCATCACTCTGCCCTGGTGTGGTTCAGCCAATAATTTTGAGGACAGACCAGAAAGGGACCTTATTTAACATTCATGATTTCTTCCTCAGGTTACTCTTGTGGACTCAGTACACCGTGAACCCATGAATACTTGAGAAAGGTGCAAGCACTGGCTTAATTGCATGTGTAAAAATACCTAAAAATAAGAGGATATTTAGTATTTTTAGGCATGAGTTCTTTTCTGAGTTTTCAGTTAAAGTTTGTGGAGTTTATTCAAAAATGCAAGTTGAGCTCTTTCCGATCTTTAAGTTACCAATATCTGTAAGTTTCATTGTTCTAAAGCTTTTGATGAAAGGAATTAGATAAGGTGTAAAGCAGAGAAAGGGCATCTTCTGACTTACTGGCGTCACTGTTTTCTTCAATGCTGGCTGTGTACACGTTCTGTGTGAAGACCGGGGGGTTATCATTTATGTCCATAACTTTGACTCTGAGCTCCAGCGGTCTCTCTAAATCTTCACCCCGTGAATTCAGAGCCCGGCAATAGATCTGTGGAAAGTTGAGAAAAACAACAACAACAACAACAACAAACCCAAAATTGACATTCTCCACCAAAGGAAAGGAAGTAACATGTTTGAAAGTGCAGGCTGAAATATGCAAAAGAAACAATTTTTTTATTGAAGTCAGACCATATTGTCGTCTACAACTAAAATGTCATCAAGACATTTGGTCATGTGCTACTGCAACACACAAGAGAATCCTGCATTATAAACATACATTTTCACTTTTCCCACTCCCTCACGTCCTTCATTTGTTTCAATTTAGTGTGTTATCAAAAGTAAGCCATATGCCTGAAATGATTCAAATTTTTTTTTCTTTCTTTAGTTGTAGATGGACACAATCACTTTATTTATTTATTTATCTTTATGTGATGCTGAGGATCAAACCCAGTGACTTACATGCTAGGCAAGTGCTCTACCACTGAACCACAGCCCCAGCCACTGAAATGATTTTTTTTTTTAAAGGAAGAAAAATAATATGAATAAATCTCAACGCACTGCTGTGACTTACCAGGAAGAGTGGAGTTATCTCTCTGTCCACCACCGAAGTGATGTTAATTTCCCCAGTGCGAGGATTAATGGTGAACACCCCGTAAGGTGGCCGATCAATCCCTGCTCCAGAGATTCGGTATGTAATCTTATGATTCACTTCACAGTCTGATCGAATCTATAAGCAAAGTGGTTTAGGATTATGAGAGCAAATCATAAACCTCAGAATGTCTTGGAATGAAAGCAAGTGGGAATTGAAGCCAAATGGTGTTTGGTTTGAGAGCCCAAGACTTATTCAAACATCTGCTCTTGGTGAGGACAACACTATTACCTGATAGGCTTGTATGAGATGATTATACAGCCCCAGTACAAAGTGTATGTGCACACAGGATACACACTTGATGCTAGATTTGTTATATTAGCAATACGTTCAATTCTCTGATTTTGTTTTCATAGAGACAATCTGATAGAAGAAATCAGGATTGTCAGCATTTAAAAATGTGTTATATTAATAAGTACCCTGCTTAGATTTGAGATTTAGCCAAAATGGCAGATAAATTAAGAAAATTGGAAGAGAAATACAGTGTTTAGAAAATTTAAAAAATTAATTTATTGTGTCATTCTTCTTCCAAATAGATTTTTATGGCCAATATTCTACCACATGGATTTTTTTTTTTTTTGGGGGGGGGCGCAGGGTACAGTGGATTGAACCCAAGGGACACTTTACCACTAGCTACATCCTCAGTCCTTTTAACTTTTTATTTTGAGACAGGGTCTCACTGAGTTTCTTAGGGCCTCATTAAGTTTCTGGGACTGGCCTCAAACTTGCAATCTTTGTCTCAGCCTCCTGAGTCACTGGGATTACAGGTATATGCCATCACACCTGGCTCTCTACCATGTAGATTTTTAAAAATAGTTTTGTAACTGTTGCTAATAAACTTAAAATAAGATAGTTTATATTTTGAAACTTTATCTGTATACTAAAGATGAGAACATTTGGTAAAAGATTAGAATTTATTATCCAAACAACTACAATTAATTAAAGTAAGTGAGGAATATAATTTCAGTTAGCTCAGGTCTATTCCAAGGATCTTTTTTATGCAGAAGAAAACTCAGAAATATCCACAATGCAAATAAAAAACAATGTGCAATATGAGGAGGATAACATAAAGTTATAACTATGAATTTAATGAAAATAAAAATGATAATTTAAAAATAATTTAGATAACTTAAAAATAATAATTTAAAAGCTTTCTCTAGCCCCTTTTGTTGAGGGTCTTGCTAAATTGCCCAGGATAATCTTAAACTTGTGCTTCTCCTGTCTTAGTCTCCCAAGTAGCTGAGACTATAGGTGTGTGCCACTATACCTAGCATTTTTTCTTGAGCTGAGGTTACACCCATAACCTCATTGCTAATACTTACTCTATTTTGTTGTTGTTGTTGTTAATTTGAACCTAGGGGAACTCTCTCACTGAGCTATATCCCTAGCCCATTTAAAAAATTTGAGACAGTATCTTGTTAGGTTGCCCGCTGGCCTTGGACTTGCAATCTTGTTGCCTCACCCTCCTGAGTATCTGGGATTACTGGCATGTACCACCATGCCTGGCTGATACTTGATTTTTAATGTAAATCTGTAAAGCAGGAATTTTGGTAGATAAATCTGATGTTGATTTCAAATTTAGTTCAAGGCCAAGAGAGCCAGAAAGAACTAGCAAAGTTGTTAATGTGGATCCTAGTCTGCATGGATTGATGGATTACACATGATTCTTTCTTTAGCTCTCCTTCCTTATTGGTAGACATTGTTTGTGAAGGCTTTTTAAAATTTTTTTCTTAAGCTTTTTTTCCCTCCTCTCCTTTTCAGTATTAAACCCTCGCTTGCATACTAGACAAGCTATTTCCTATTGAACTACATCCTCAGCAAACCCCACCATTTTTCCATGAGATAGTGTCTCCCTATGTTGACCAGGCTGGCCTCAAACTTGTGATCTTCCTGCCTCAGCCTCCTGAGTAGCTGGGAAACAGGAGGCACCATCAGGCTTGGCTTGTAAAAGCCTTTTACTACCCTTCTACCTCCAGGTTGTAGAAATCTGATGGGAACATTTCTGACATCATCTTTACTTGCTTGACTTAATCAAAAGCGATATACCCTTGATTTTTCAAGATATAGTCTTCAGACTATCATACATTTCCTATAACACAGACATGTAGTTATAAGCAGCACACAAACAAATAAAATCCACTGGTGCTAGAGATCCAAGTCTTTCTTCTTGGACCACTTGGACTCTCTAGAGAGTTCTGTATCAGCTCCCAGCACGTGGTACTCAAAAAGTATCTCAGCAACACAAGCCATGACTGCAAATGTTCTAGAGCTTTCCTGCACAAAAGCATTGCGATCAGCTCAGGATAGTTCCATTTGTCATCACTTACTCTGGCAATTGGATTCCTCTTCGAGTTGTCCTCTCCTTCTCGACAGGCAGCTGCGAACTTGATCCACTCCCGCTTTTGTCTTCTGACAGTTTGCCACGTTGTCGTGCCATTTTCAATGTCTAGTTCTTTCACCTTAAGCAAAAATGGTTCATATTTCTTACAGAGTTAAAACACTTTTACTTAGGATAGACATGCATTTAACACTGTCAGGAGGATCCAGAAGAAACAATATTGTTGAATTTGAGGAACAAAGGGATTTTTTTACTAAATCACAACTCTGGAAAGACATAACTCGCCTACCTCTGACTACTACTTCTTTTGGAATCATCTTACTTTTAACTAGAAGACTCTAGTGCAACAGATTTCATTAGTTGTCTGTGTGCTCAAAATGGACATACTTAATCATATGATGGAGTTTTTCTCTTATCTATCTTCACTAGGTAGAGGCCTTTCCTACCTCACCTTTCCTTGAGCTCTGACCAGACTTTACCAACTCTAGAGTGCAGATTGTCACTGTTCCATGTGAGTATGTCCCTTAAAAAGTGGTAGTTAGATAGTTGTGCTCACCTAAAAGAGGGAAGGCATTTTTTCTTCTGTTGATAAAACACCACTGTGGCTAAGCATCCAAATATGTTAATGCAAAATTAGAAGAATATTGTTAAGTGATGGGACCAGAGATAATCATTTGCATGTCTTTATGGCTTCTCAGTATTGTATATTTGTATCTCTGCTTGCTATATGTTTGTCCCTTTATAATTTCATGTTACTATTATTGGTGAGTGCTTAACAATTTTATACTAAATACTGCAGAATTTAGAAATGCTACTACATCAAAAACATATACATAATATGAGTTTATTTTTAGAAGTTCTAATGTCTTTATTGAAGCATAAGTGGTTATATGTTTACTTAAGCTAAGACTTTAATTACCACTTTTGGGGAAGCAGATGTTCTATATAAATGGAGTTTTTTTTTAAAGAACTAATGCATTTACACTTAATTTTAATACAATTTCTTGAAAGGTCTACATATTTTCTATTTTGTAAATAGAAATTAGAAAAGTAATTTCATCTTTTCCAATGATTAGAGATGATTATAATGAAAATTAACTATGATAATAAAATTAAACACCAACAGAGAACAGGAGAGTAGGTTTATTTCCTGACTCCCACTGCTTGTGTATGTGTGTGTGTGTGTGTGTGTGTGTGTTTTTGGTGCTGGGGATTGAACTCATAGCTTCATTCATACTAGGCACTGGCCACTGAGCTACATCTCCAGCCCTGTGGATCTCACTTGAAAAGGTACCACATTATTTAGTGGCTTAGTTAGTGATACTTAAAAATGTTTTTTATTTTTAATCTTTCCCTCATTCATAGACCATCAATTGTCATTCTTGTTGATGTGTCTAGAAATCCTCTTCCATTCTAAAATGTTTCTTTGCTTCTTTTGCTGTGTCATTGGTTGGTTGGGGGACATGTAAGTAAGCTACTAACATAGTCTGATGAGTAGGTGTCACTACCAAGACACTGAGCTGTCACAAACCATGCTCTAAATAGAAATTTGGGCGTCTGGGTTTTGTTATTACTATTTAAATTTGGTTAAGGTTATTTCTCTTAATTTTGATCTGGATGTCTTACAGATTCAAACATTCTAATTTTTGATATATGATACATTATAGAATCCAGCTTTCTTTTAATTTTATGTAGAGAAAATAATTTTATCATACATTACCTCGACAATAAATTCGCTGTTTACTTCCAGCACCACCTGTCATGGAAGGCACAGTATTAGCAAACATTTTCATATTTAGTGTTATAAAAGCATTGGTAGTATTTTTCAATCCCTTATTTATTAAATATATATTTAATTACTAATAAAGAATAAACTTGAGTAATAGAAAATGGATAAGACTTTCCAATTCAGAAGGTATTTAAACTTTTAGGGAAGATGAAAGAATAACTCTTCAGCAAGACATGATAAGATACCTGCTTCAATGGAGGCACCCATGGGCTCAAGGGAAGGGTAAAATAGGCAACTGAAGGTATCAAAACAAATTTGAGGGGGGCTTCATAGGGAAGTGGGGTTCTGAAGAGAATTGCAGGATGAAGCTGTTTGGATAAGAGGAATTAATAAGGAAGAATATTTTAGCTAGAGTAAAACCAGAACACATGGAAAGGTACAAAGCTTCAGAGGATGTTATAGAAATGGTAAATATTAGGGGGAAGGTAGAGGTGTCATGGAATGAAGTTTGGAATGTCAGTTTGAAGGAAGATCAGGAAGTGCTTAATGCAACAGACTAAGTAGCTTGGCTTTAACTGGGTAGAGGCTGGGAGTGACAAAAACATTGTCTTTAAAATACTGATATAAGGGAAGATTACAAAAGAATGCCCTCAAGACACTTAGGAATTACCAATGGATTAGGTAAGATATAGTTAGAACAGGATCCTCAGTGCTGCGATGGCACTGGAGAGAGAAGGAGATATCACCCAAAGATATCACCCCAACACTGATAGGGCTTATAGACTGAGGGATTTGAGGGGAGGAAAAGTCAGATGATTCTGGTGACTTTAGTTTAACTTTCTGGGAGAAGAGAAATACTATTAACAGAAATGGAAAACTCAGCAGGAGACTATCACTGCAGGAAGGTGATAGTTTAAGTTTGTTCCATTTATTTTCAAGGCACTTCTAATATCAGAGATAGATACAAAACCTGAAAACATGAACGTTTTCCAAACAGCCTTGTTTGAAGTTGAAAGAAATGAGGACACAAAATCAAACAGTTTAAGAAGATAAATGGAGTGAACAGAGAATAGAGTCTTGTGGGAAATGCTTACTCTCTGGCAAGGAACTGCAGGAAGAAGTCTGAAGGCAGAGGGCTTTGATTGAGGACAAGAGACCCTGGGTGGGCCAAGAGCAGGTTCTTAGTGTAAGAATATTGAGAAATGTGGAGGATTGGTATAGATTCAGGGTTTAGAAAGGAGAAGAGATTGGATCAGGAGGCAGAAAGAATGCAGTGCTAAGAAGTCAGACAAACAAGGGCTATTTAATGGTTTATGTGCTGTAGCAAAGTCAAGGAGAATGGGAACTGACAGCCCTGGAATTTTAAAGCAGGCAGTCATGGCTCACTTTTGTAAGTGGCATGCATCACATTGCAGGAATCAAGAAATTAGTGAGGAGGAAAGTAGAAATAGCGATCATAGATTGTATTTTGAACAAGTTAGCATGAAAAAGAAATATGAGGTTTGATGCACTTCAAGGTCTCATTAAATCCAGGAGTAATTTTTTAGTTTGGAAAACCATGACCAAATATATAATCTGTAGGGATAGGAGAAAGGGTTTATGGGAAAAGAATGGTAGAATGAGAAGAGAGAAAGGGAGAGGAGGAGGAAGAGAAGAGGAGGGAGAGGAGGAGGAGGAAAAGAAGTAGTAGATACAGTTGTGATAAGAGAGAGTAGGAATTTTTGTTAAACTAAAAGTACAGGTAAACGATAATAACGAGAAAGAATATTTCCTCCTACATTATTCTATGGTTGGTGAAGATTTGTGGTGAAGCTGAGATGAGGAAGTAAGAATAGAATGCTTATTTCTTCTGTTTGTTGACTTCTCTGTAGAAATTGGTAAACTGAGAGTAAGGAGAGGAGGACACAAGGACTGTCCCGGGGTTGGGGGATGGTGATGGAGGCCGAGTGGAGAGTTAGGGAGGAGATGAGGTACTACTGTGAACTCCAGCCAGTTGGGGAGCAGAGTGAACCTGGGGAGCTCCCGTGAACTGAGGCTGGAGACTGGACAGGTGAAGTGGGCCAGAGCAGATTCTGCAGTGGGGGTGGTTGTAAGAGGGAGCAGAGGGAGGGTATGGGCAGGATTTGTCATGGCAAAAGGTAAGTCCAGAAGGGACCAACAGAGATGAGAAATTTGTTGGTAAGAATTGAGTCTCTTCTTAACTCACTTTCTCATATAAAATTTTACTAGATATGAGTAAAATATCTAGACCCAGGAATGAATATCAATATTTATTAGAATATCATATTATTCAGTTGCATAGAATGTGCTATTTTATTTAATTATTTTGGGGGTTAAATTTTTGATGTTAGAAAAGCAGATAATTCTGGAAGGTACAAGAAAAAAATCAAACAGGATCTCATGAACAGGAGATTGGCAATTTTTTGTCACATTTATTCTTTGTAAACCCATACTTCCACAAACTATGTATATATATATATATATATATATATATATATATATATATATATATATTGGTCTGGGGATTGAATGCAGAGTTGCTTTACCACTGAGTCACATCCTCAGCCCTTTTATCTTTTTTTGAGACAGGGTCTCATTAAGTTTCTTTAGGGGCTTGCTAATTGCTGAGGCTGGCCTCAAACTTGCGATCCTTCTACCTCAGCCTCCTGAGTCACTGGGATTACAGGCCTGTGCCACCATGCCCAGCTAATTTTTTTTTAATCAAAAAGAAACCATGTATATTAAATTTTTTAATTTGCCTTTGCACTCAATGGCTAACATGGTAAGTTCTGTGTCCACGCATACATATAGACTTATGTTTCAGTGTTGCCTTATGTATCATTTAGTAGTAGCTCTCTTTCATTCTGGTCACTGAGACATTAGGGTAACTGAGAACCAGTAACTTGAGCAGTTCATGCTGCACACTAGACTCTGACATGCAGTTCTCAGGCACCTCCTTCAGTGGAAGGTGAACTGGAAGCCCTGCTTTGGTGAATGCCAGGTTGGTGAGCTCAGAGCACGTGAGCCCTTTATGAACAAGAGTCTCCCTGTCTTCATCTTTGGCTCCACAATAGTTTCTGTTTTCTCCCTCTTCTTCTCCACTGCTCTCTTTCTTTCTCCTCTTTGATATTCTCTTCCAGTTTTTCCCTTCTTCCTTCCAGATCCTGTCTCTGACCTGATGGAACTACAGTAACATCATTATGTCGTTTTCCTCACCCACCCTGGCATGGGCAAGCTGAGCTGCAGAACTTCAGAGCTAATAATCTAATATTAAACAGTGAGAGTGAGTCGTCGCTGGGTTCTGCTCTTAATTCAATTAGAGATGTGGAAGGTAATTTTCACTCTGTGGTGGAACACATTCTCTCTGTTGTTTCTGCCTATTTACAATAAGCCTACAGGTTAATACTGTATCCATGAAGTATTAAAACAGCAACTGAGAGTGGGCCCAAGTCCCCATCCTACTCATTATTGTTTTTTTTAACACCTAAAACTTTTTTTTTTAATTACCCAATATTACCTTACCAAACTGTTCTGATTTTGTTTGAATATTTGTGTCATATAATTATGTCCCTGGCTCTGAATAAATATTGATGTTTATGTTGACTGATACTGATATTATCTTTGCAAAGACTTCGAAAATTTTGCTCATAAAACCTTAAGACATCCTGAAATGCATTAAAGAAGTGAACAAATGATCTGAACAGATGCTTCTCAAGAAAATGAAATACAAATAGCTAATAATTATATTTTGAAATGTTCAACTTAGCCACTCAGGAAATGCAAAATCAAAACAACCTTGAAATTTCACCCCACCATCAGTGTGGCTATTATAAAAATAAATAATAAATAAATAACTGATGTTGGTGAAGATGTGGGGAAAAAAGAATCCTATACATTGTTGGTGGGAATACAATACTAGCATAACCACTATGGAAAACAGTATGAAGATTCCTCAGAAAACTAAAAATAGACATACCATATGATCTAGCCATACCACTCCTGGGTGGATACCCAAAGGAAGTGAAGTCAGCATACAAAATAGATACCTGCATAACTATTTTTATTATGGCATTTTCATAACAGATGAATGGAAAAGAAAATATAGTACCTATGCACAATGGAATATTATTCAGCCATAAATAAAAATGAAATCATGTCATTTACAGGAAAAAGAATGGAACTGAAGGTCATTGTGTTAAGTGAAATAAACCAGACACAGAAAGACCAGTATCACATGTTTTCTTTAACATGTGAAAAAAGAAAGAAAGAAAGAAAAGAAGATGGCTTGAAAGAAGAAGAGGAAGGAAAGGCAGGTGGGGAGGGAGAGTGGAGAATAGAATCAAAGAATAATAACTGTGTGTGACGGAAATGTCACAGTGAAACCCATTAACTTGCATAATTAATGTGAGTTAAGAGTTATAGTAATAAAAACTGAATAAAGAAATTATTCTCACTTTTCCCCCAAAATAGAGCAACAATTTTTTTTTTTGGAAAGAAGATGTGCTTCTTTAGATTTTTCTATAATGATAGCTAAATCTTGTCTTTTGATGCCCAGTATCATCCATTTGGATAAAAAATGTTACTAAGTTCTTTAACAGTCAGCATTTATTTTACTCCTATTTTTCCTTGAACTCTTATATCTTATTTCTATTGATGACCCAAAGGACTAGATTAGCCTTACAATCATATTGAACAGCACAATTGAGCAACCAATATGCAAATATGAAAGTTTTGATACAATATAATTAAATACAAAAATAAAACTTGATTGGAAATGTATCACAGAGATGAATGGAGTTTTAAAGAAACAATGGATAAGTAAGTGATACTAATTATTAGAATTAAACAAGTTTCAACATCAATTCCAGTTGTTTTTGTCTTTTATTTGTAAATACAGTTCTTAGAGAACTTTAATAGATAAATGATATTGGAGGACTTTTTCTTATAAATTCTTTAAACTTATTCTGAATGACATGACCTAAAGTTACAGAGTAATCTATCCTTAAAAGTTATTTTTAAATGTTACCTCTAGTCAGCTGATAAATCTTTCA